CAGAGGAAACCCTGTTTTCAGGTCCAATAATTTAGGATTAAGTTGCTTTATTAATACTAAACTGTTATATTTGAAAATGTAGCACACACACATTGTAGTACAAAACCTGTAATAAGCTGAGAATGAAGTTAATAGTGTTCCGTTGGTTTCTCCCTACAAATTTCCAAAACACTACTCTACTGAAATTACTTTTTTTTTTATGAAAAATTAATACATTAATTGTAGATAAGAAAAATACTAAAACAACAGTGACTAGTGAGATTACTATTAGGTACAAGTTAACATAAATTATGTATGCTTAGTTCTTGGGATTGAGTTTACAGTTTTACATGAAAACAACCGTATTGAGGTAAACATAATGTACACAACTCATTTAGGTACAAAGGGACAAACTAACAGCATGTGCCACTTTACTTGTTAGAGGTAGAGGAGAATACAGTTCCGTAAAAATCCCAATTATCACGGGTATTATTAGTCATTATTTTGCATACAACAACATTCTAGTGCAAAGTGAGTCAACAATTTATTATTTTGAATCAGCAAAATGTCACTTCCACACATCCCTATTACAAGTTTGTCATTGCTTATTAGGCCACAAAAAATTATATTTGTGGTAACAATAGCAGAAAAATTTGGATAGGTATAAAATAGGTAGAATTTTTTATTCCTATTTAAGATTATTACATTGCACCACAGAATGCCATTATCAAAAAAGAAAAATCTTTTCATGCAATCTACTACATCAGGAATTAAGTTACTTAACAACTATGCATTCTTTATCCCCCTTCTTATAGCATATTTACTACCCATAAAGCTGAGGTACCTGTTTCAAATTCAAAGTTTGTGTTTTAAAAAGTCACAGTTGAGTCCACCAGAGTAGATCAATAATTATGAGCACTTGCAAAGAAAAGTGCCTGATATTAACAAAATACTCAAAAACTGGCCTTTATGAAATTGCACTGGAAAGCACAATTTTTTTCAAAATGAAAGTGCTAAATCTACATGTAATATTTTAATAATTTCATGATGTCAGAAAAACGCGCATGTTCAAAAAATCTTGATAAAAAATAATAAAAATCCTGTAACCCATGCACTTTTGAAAGGTGGACCTTTCTTCTTCAGGGACAAACTAATCCCAGTTTGCCCCTTAAGAAGAAAGGTCCACCTTTTGAAATTGCTTGGGTTACAGGGTTTTTGTCATTTTATTATTTTAATAAGTAACTTAAGAAAGGTAGGTAGAATAGTGACATTTTTCACTATGTACACTATTTACAAAATGATGCAGAAAGTATCTCTAACGACAGTCTATTTGGTATTTCACATGTTCTCTAATAATATGCTTCAACGAAGTTTTTATGATACCATAAAATACATGAAGAGTGATAACAGAGTATGAAATGTTTGACAAATGTTACAAAAGTTATAATTTTCCTACACTGAAAATGTATTTCCAATAGGTACTTACCTTCTCTCACATAAATAACTATTTTCATTCAGTGCTACCCTCTATATGCAAAAAAAAAATTTACGCATGCCACAAGCCTTCTATCTTGCCTCCGTTGGAATTGATTCCAAAGAATATCTCATGCAAATCATCATACATCAACCCTCCACCAATAGGAGTGCAACATACTCTCATGACGCATGTGACTCCCTCTATTCCATTCTATCTATCACTTCAAGTTTTGACAGAAGATGGAAGAACTGGTTTTCAGGGTTGGAAGTGTGAGAGGAGGCAAGTACCTTCCGGAAATACATTTTCAGTATAGGAAAATTATAACTTCCGATACGGTATATTATCTCCACTCACATAAGTAGCTAGAATCCCACACTGAATAGGTGAAGGGACTGGTGCAAGGGAAAGAAAGAAACATCCTTTGAAAGCATCCAAAGGACACTCCCTAAGATGAGACAGTCAGATTCTCAGATATGATGTGGGAAACCGCACCACTTCTGAACCAGGTATACTCTTTGCCCATCGTAGAAAGATGTTGCATATATGGGTGGAAAACAGAGGAGCACATCCAAGTGGGAGAGAACTACAGCCGGAAAGTGATCCAAACCATGCAATATTTATGAAACTCAATCCCAAAAAATATAAAAATGGGAAAAAGACCACATCCCCAAAAGCAATAGAACCTCACGAGCTGTAATAGAAGGAGCAGTAAGAGCATGAAGAACTGAAAGCTCCATAGAACAAAATTGAAGAGGAGAAGGTTGGCCCAACTGAGTTGGTTGTTAAAAAAAACACCCAAATGGACAAGATATTGGGTAGGTTGAAGGAATGACTTCTCCAATTTGATTAACCAGCCCATTCAAGATGCCTCCAGCAGCAGCTGAAGAGTGTGACAGACGGACTCCTGTTTGGAACAAGCTAACAGTAGCCAGTCATCCATATGATGGCAAAAGTGCAATCCAAGAACATGTAGGTGATGAGCAAATGTTCTGACCACCCGCCAAAAAACATACGGGGCCAAAGCAAGTCCAAAGGACAGTGCATAAAACTGATAAACCACTCTGTGATGAACAAACCAAAGATATGATCACGACTAACAAAGCATCGGAATATGAAAGTAGGAATTCACGACATCCATCTTGGTCATCCACAAACCTGGGGAAAAAGCCTACCTGAAGGTGAGAAACGATTCCATGGTAAAACGGGATAGACTAAGAAATTAAATGAGGAGGGACAAATCTATTACAAGCCACCAGTCTCCAGTTTTCTTGGGGACAACAAACAGCCTGGAATAAAAGCCAAGAGAAAGATGATGAACAGGTTTGATGACCTGTTCAGACAAAAAAAAAAGTCTTGTACTGCCTCTGACAGATGCTGGCAGGTGAAGAGATCCCAAGGCATAGGGAAGGAAACAGGTACTCGAGACAAAGGAGAGTGGGAAGAAATTGGAGGACACATCCCTCTGATAAATCTCGAATAACCCACTGATCTGTGACAAAAGAATGCCAAGTTGGAACAAATTCGCACAATTAAGCTCCCATCCAGTATACACTGGTACTGTTGCCGTCATGCCATCTACATCGAATAAAACAACGAGATGAGGAACCCCTGGAGAGAGGAACGGGTAAGGGATGGGAAGAACTGGGACAGGAAACAGGAATAGGGGGTTGTTGTGATTCCAACTGCTACAAATGAGCCACCAAAGAGGAAAGGGTAGAGTGTTGACACACAGACTCTAGAGGTGATTTCAAAGTCTCAGGTACAAGGTCGAAAACATACCACCCAGAAAAGGGGCCATGCAAAAATCCCTGAGAAAAGTGGGTGGCAAATGAACCTGGGACAAGGCCACATTGCGATCCAGAAGATTCCAACAACAGAGAAACCACACGTGTAAAGCAAGAGCCAAAGACAACAAACGAGCCAATGTGGAGGTAATAAGGGATAGGAAGTCCCTTGAAAATCCTCTGGATCTCAGTGTATCACCTCTGAAAGTAGATGGATGGAAGATAAATACTGTAAAAGTGAATTAAGGGTAAGACAAAGGCAGCAAAACTGAGCATGGGTTAAATGCACAGGAAAATAAAGTATTGCCCACACACACACACAGGTAAAATAGACCCCAACAGCTGAGAGTCGAGAAACAGACAGTCAGCTTGATGGTAAACCAAAGCAAACTGATCCATAGCCCATAGTGGGCAAGGCATGCTGGCATCCTCAACCAATTATGAAGCAAATTGCTCAGCATGAACCCTAATATCAAGGGAGGGTGGGAAAACTAAATATGGAGAGGAAGAACTATCATGCAACAATGAAGGATGTGGATCATAGAAATGTTTGAAACATTACATACCTGAGAAATCACATCTAAAGATGGCATATTAGGCCTAGCTGATTCTGCAGGTTGGGCATAGGAAGACACGGCAAAATTTGCTGGTGGAAAAAAGCAATCAAATCCTTCATCAACTCAAACAGGTTCGGCTTATTAAGAAGGAAGTCGGGCAAGTTCAGGAAAAGTTGTCTGACCCATATAATGATCAATCTCTTGGCGGATTATCACCGATAAATCCAATGACAGGTCACCCCCACCTGCAGCCTATGAGAGAATACTTATAGAAGGTATGATACCTGAAGTGGTAACATTAACCTCAGAATTAATTTCAGAAATATGAACAAAGAAAAATGTTTGATAGATAAATGCAAATTTGAGAGAAAAAATAAAATAATGACTGGGAAATTATGTTAAAGTAAAAGGCATCTTCAAAAAAAGAAAAAAAAATTAATGAAGAAATCCCAATTCGGAATTGAAACTATTAAATTACGAGTGCAAAGCACACAAGAAGCACCAAAAGCAAAAAACGTTCGAACACAAGTACTGCCAAATGAGAAGTGCCAGTTTGATAGAATGAAATAGAGGGAGTCACATGCATCATGAGAGTATGTCGCACTCATTCCCATTGGTGGAGAGTTGATGCATGATGATTTGCATGATACACACTTTGGAATCAGTCAATTCCAATGGAGGGAAGATAGAAGGCTTGTGGCATGTGTAAAAAACCTTCAAGCACTACCATTAGTGAAAAAAAAAAACTTTGGAATAATTTATTTTCATGTTATGAATAATCACGATCGAATAATCTATAACCTAAAAACACACAGTAAACTAAGAAATACAATTCTTCAAATAGAATACTAAAACAGTATGAAAGAATTTAAAAAGAGCAGATTTTAAAATATTAATTTCTTAATTTTTTCTTTTAAATGTTACAATCAATGAATAAAAAAGTATTCTAAGTTGTAGATTTGTATTAATATACACTTAAATATCAAGATGGAGAAAACATTCTGAATATCTGTACAAGAAAAACTACAATTAAATTGATAGTCTAATTTTCTTTATGTAACTATTACTTAACTTTGATAGTTTTACATTACACGGGTGATGACATATCTTTTGATTCTTGCCTAAGCCAAAAGTCTTTAAAATAAGTTCAGATATCTAAACTTTACCCTTTTGAAAACATTCAAAATTTTAAACATAACTTACATGTATTCTGTCCAAACTGAGTTGAGCCAAAAGTATCTTTAAAAGAGAGGACATAACATTATAAAACTGGATCGGTTTAACTGCTGTCCTGTTAAAACAAGTTATAAACCTAAAAGATATACATTAATTTATGCAAAGTAATCCCTTACCACCTCTAAAAATGTATTAGAGAGTAAATTTTTTCACAAATTTCAGTATAAAAACTTTAATATTAGGTATGTTATGTGTAACATTAAGCAGTCAAACCAAAAGGTTTATTAGCTTGCAAAGAAACTAAAATGAATCTCATTCTTTTCAGAAAAACAAAAATCAGGATTACACTGTATTTTGTGTTCTACCACAATTTTCACACCCATAAAATTGCATCTAGCTTAATCCTTATTTTTCTTTATAAAAATGTTGAATGTGTAAAAAATTTAAGAAACAATACAATTAACAAAATACTTAAAAACTGGCCAGCAAATTTTTTTCAAAAATGCAAGGACTAGATCTACGTGTATTATTTTAATAAGTTAAATTGCGGGTAAGATATTGACATTTTGTGTTATGTATACTATTTATAACATCATTTGAATATAATTTAAATCTTGTTGGGGATCACTGCTTTTCTGGTAAAACCTAAAGATGTATGTTATATACATGGTCATTCATTCATCCACAGATAACAACCAGTGTTTTGTAAAACCTACAATACAGCAAATGGAAAGTACTTGTTTTTCTTGCTGATGGGCCATTTCAAAATAAGTTTATTTAAAATGCATCAACATCATTGAAAATAGAAGAAAACATGTAAACATTTACAGTATTTGCAACCCATGTATATCAGGATCCTCCATAGGATTTCAGATTTGGGATGAAATACTCTTGGGTTTTAACTTTTGAGGGTGAACACTTAAATTATCCAAGTAGTGTTACTGAGGTCTCTGCTCAGACAACGCACCATACGACATCCATGAGCTCAGCTACTAGTTTACATGGGTCAACCCCATTTATAATGAATACTACTAATGTCTACTTCAAAATAGAAATGTGATTGATCTCATTAATTACTCTTAAAATTAGTAATAGCATTAGAACACTACAAAACTTAATTCATTTTTTTACTTTTTTTCATGCATGTGAATGTACCTCTATGATGCAATTTTTGTTGGTGAACTCAAAAATATGTTGTTGTTTCAACTAACTTGTTAATGAAACTCAGTGATCATGACTTAGGTAAGAGGAAAAGTACTAAGTTCACAGCATTTTGGACAAAATGGGGAAGGAAGTAGTCAATAACAAGTATACACTTACATGTACAAATAGTTTCATTCAATTATTCAGTGTAGAAAGGCAAGGTGTCACTTTAGTTATGAAATGCAATAATGAATAGTATACATGCATTATATTTTACAATTCAAATAATAAGACTTAAAAATTATATACAAGATGTCCTCAGAGCATCTCAGTTTCCAAGTTTCTAGTCCACAGTAAAAAGTGTTATTCAAATAACTGCATTGATGCTGGTAAAAAGTGATTCATTTTTAATCAACCTTCAATCATGAACTTAATGAGTGCAATAATTTCTATAGTGTAGCAAGTACCAAAATTTATAGTTATACATTACCTTTTTTTCTGTACATACATTTGTAAAATAAAACTAAAGCATACAAAATGGTTGCCAGAACATTCTAGAAATATTAAATAAGGCCTTACAGAGACTGAAACAATGATCTTCTAAAACATAAATCAGAATTTTTTTTTAAATAGACTATAATTTAGGCCTAGCTCCTAAATAATTTGTTTGCTTTATCCAGCAATATTATCCTCAAACAGAACATTACTTATCTTTATGAACTACAAGGAGAAAATGTACAAATTATGAATAATTTGAAAATCTCAGATCCAGGTTGCATAACAAAATTTCATTGCAGTTTGTGCTATGCAAGGGCAAGATTGAATCACAAATAGAGTCAACTGGAATTGCAAAGTGTAATGCAATACTGGCTATATTATTTCCTGTATAAATTAGCTCAATTATTATTACCTTTTCAGTTACAAATAATTACGATAAAACATTCTGATAATCAATTTTACATGGAAATTTAAGTTCTTGAAAGTTAAATTACATTTTCCCAATTTGATTGGTAATTTGTTGATTATTGAGTATTATTTCAGTTCTGCTTCCTCTCTTGTAGCACTGGGTTAAACTTTGAGTCAGTAATCAGGCAACAACAGTCTTAATACATAAGTAAATTTATACTTAAATAAAAATAATTTATTAAAAAATTATCTTAACAAAAATTGGCCAAAAGCTTCTTATGAACTTCAGATATATTTCAGTATCAATATTAAGTGCTAATAGTTTGGATTTTTCTTGAAAAGGTAGATAGATGTAAAAAGTTAATATTAACTTCCAGTCAGAGCAAGTAATGAGTTTAGCTAACTAAAGATCTGTTCTTACTTATAACTATTACAATGCACAACTTCATCAGTTGGGTACATTTGCTGTTAACAATATTTTTGGTTGTAAACTCAATAATACTCCTCAAAGCTTGGCCAGCTTAAGAGAACTATGTTAATCCTTTATCCACATACTAAGCTATCAATACAAAATGATCTCTATCAGAAAACTAAGTTTATACCCAAAATAACAATGAAATATCTAAGACGAACGATTCTAGTAATTCCTCAACTTTTTTTAAAATGTTATGGAATATGCACTATTGTATGAGGAATCAGGGTGTTCTTCAACCCAAAAACTGAGAAGAACTAGAAGATATATAATGATTTTTTTTTTGGTAGATAGAGAAATTTGTTACCAAACTTTGCCGAAGGTCTTGGTATTATTATAATACAATATCTATACAGATTCTCACAAAGCCAGTAATAATTAAGAACTATAAGGACAACCAGCAGATTTTCTGTCAGAATTGCACAAATCTCAAAGGGCAGATGACAGAAGCATCCAATTCAAAGCTTACTTGCAAGTGTAAGGTAGCAAAATGCTTGACATGCAACTTGTGCAGCGGATGTGGATGTAATCACGACTACATACCAGTCACAGAGAAAGAACGACACAGAAGACGACAAACACGAATTTCCATTGGTGCTAATAAAAATACCAAATGGCCAAAAAGAAGCATGTTTACTTACAGACAGGATATGTTCACAGAATCGTCAGAAGACATGGACAGTCATGGATAGAACGATGAGAGTGGTTAACTTTGGGAATATTAAAAACCACTATGACCACTATATCCATAGAAAAAAAGCCACACTAAAAGATTCCTTAAATTAAACCCTACAGATCCCTCTATGTTACTCCTACTTTTCCAAATTAACTGTAATGATCCAAGAAATTTGCATTAAAATATAAAACTTGTATTTATGTTTAAAAATTTAATGTTAAATACATATTCACTGAACTTACTACAATTTCTTGAAAAACTATACTGAATGTATAAATCAATTTGATAAAACAAAACTTACTTCCAAAAGTAGTTGCTGTTCCAAAAGGTTTCCCATACATTTTCAGTTGTAGTCAATTTCAAACACCAATATATCTAAGGGGAAAAATTATTAAAAGAATCAGCTTAAAACTTGCAGTGTTCTCTCTAAATTTGGCAAAGCACCTGATGTTTCCCCAAAAGGTCAAATTTATTTCCCCCATGGGATTCATGGGGACAAAGCTCTTATGTATTAAAATGTTTTACATGCATTTTAAAGTTAAAAATACTCATTAATTTCTTTTATTTTTATTGAAATTCACATCTCTCATGCAATTTTAAGACTCATAAATGAAAAAATAATTTCATGCCATATTGACAGTTATGATAAACAGTTACCTCAAATGTACTTTTTTTGGCTTATGGCAAAGCATAAATACTTTAACATCCGAAATACTAAATGATCACAAATAACTTCATTATCAAGTTGTCATTAATTAATATCATTCATCATTATGTAATGTGTCTCAAAATAACCTTCACATACTTGATTGAAATTTTATAAACTCCCAGCCTTACTCCTACATGAAGCAGAAGTAACACGTTTGCATTTACAAACTTTCAGGATTCCATTCCCCAAACCACCTCAACAGTCATTCTTAAATCAATGTGTCTCACTTATATTGCTTTTCTTTCAGTTGATAAAAACACTAATTAGTTCATTAAAATACACATTCTACGAGTAGAAAACTGTAAGAATGTGTTTTTTGAGTTCAAACACTTCATTTTAGACCACTCGTCATGATCATAGTATTTGAGCATCTTTTCATTTTGAATTTCAGACAAGAACTGGCAAAACTTTGTGAATCACTTGTCAGCTAAAATATATCAGAATGGGATTCCATGAGTACCTTTTTTATTCCTACATGTTTTCAGTTTTCGAAAAAAAATTAAACCTCATTTCTCAACAAATATATACGTAATGCAAGTTATCAAAACATGAAACTCTAGTCAGTAGTTATGAGATTAAAAACATCATTTGAGCATGTGAATAACTATTCTTACCCTGGAATGTCATGTTTGTATATAACAGCTCGAAGCATACCTACTTTACTTGTTTGTTTCACATTGCTATATTTTTTATTTTTTTTTATCTCAGAGTTTATTTTAGCTAAAAAATCATATGGAAACAGATCACTTGGGTATCTAAGCTCAAAAAATAAACAAAATGAAGAAAGAAAATCAGGACAATAGCACGACAATGCAAAAATAGTTTCTTGAAATTGTGGATTATTACTTGATCATATCGATATGCACAAAACACACAAAACTAAAATTACTTACAAAAGCTTTTTTACTAGTTGAGTAATGTGCTGTTTGCTGCTGATGTATAACACAAAGTAGGTGAAATTCCCCAGAATTGCTAGTATACATAATGTCAAAAGCACGAAACTATGAAAAATATACTGGTCATTTCAACAATGTGTTGAGTTAATACATTATGACATTGTTTGCCACCTAACAACAATGCCATAGCATGTTGATAAATTGCATAGTAGAGAGCTTTGACAATGCGTTGAGTCAATATGTTATGACCCTGTTGGATACCCATTTACAGGGCAATTAACGAGTTGTTCCAACACATTGTAAAAATGCCAAGTGATTGAAAACTACATTATACTTGGCTTTTCAGCAACACTGTCAGAATATAGAAGACTGTTTAGTTTAGATTTTATTGATTAATTTATTTCTGAGTGAATATTTTATTATTGTTTAGTTTTTGTTATAATAAGAGTTAAAAACAGACAATTGTAGGAAGTTTTGTTCATAATTCATTGATGTTGAGACTATTGAATGTCATGTGCAATACACTGATGTTGAGAATATAGAAGGCGGCAGACGATTAACCATTAGACAAATCACTAATGTGAGACGAGTGGAAACAGCAAATAGATAATAGCAAAAAAGAGTAAAGTTACAAGCCAAGGAAAAGTTTGGCATGAAGTTAACTAACGTAGAAGTGATAGGCCTAACGTTTAATATGTTAGAGTAAGACTAACAGTAGAAAAGAAGATAAGAAGAAGCATTTATTCCATCAAAGTGTGGTTCTAAAGTAATTGAATCAGCCACAATTTCTAAGTGAATCACACACAGAATACTAGTAAAATAGTTATAAAGAAGACAGTTCAGCTAGTCAGTTGAAATTCTAAAGTAATTGAATAGACCTAAGTGGACTTTTGACAAGAAGAAGAGAACTATATATAAATAGTTTATGATATGTCTGTAATCTCTATAATATAAAGAATCTGTTGTACATACCTGTAACTTGTTCCATATATATATATAATGTTGAAAACAAGTGAGGTGCATGCTGTTCATTTATCTTTGAAGTTATTGCTAACAATTCACAGACACCTACTGTAAAAGAATCCTGCACCCAACAACATAGTATATATTCATACTATTAAGAAATATAAGTAAACACCTTTTATTTTGACAATTTGTGAAAAGACATTTTTAAATTCTGACAAACACATTGAAGCAAAATGTTATGGATTTGGTGAATTGCCAGATGGGTGAAGTATACAAATGTTCTGTGAAACATGGTAGATGACTCATAGTTCTAACAAAGTGAAATTATAGATTATCTTAAAAAACAATTATACTATTGTTAATCAATAGTCCCAAATAGTTTTTGTTTTACTAGTATTTGTGTAATTATTGGAAAATAAATCACTGCATTTATAAATATGATAAAAACTGAGTTATCTAAGTAGTGATAATACATAACAACGTTTAGGGACAAGGGACCTATTAGTCCATCTAGGCTGTCCCATTCTCTGAACTAAAACTATTGAAAAAACCCTCAAAGCCAGCCCTTATCATTCATATTGTTATGATGCTTTCTCTTAAATTTATGGTCTCCACTGTAGTTATTTTTCTTTAGCTTATATGTATGTAAATGTATATATTTAAACTCTTCATTTTGTATTCAAATTATTAACTTACGGCATCCAGGTTAAATTATTTCAAAAAAATCAGATGTAAAAACAGTTTCTGCTACTCATTTAATTAATAAAGGTCAAAATACCTATATATTTATTGTTATTTTTAAATACTTTTCTTAAAAATGATAATTTAACCTGTATAACATGTAGGGAATCAGCTCTTCATGTTAGGTAATTCAAATCAAGAAAATGACAAAAAAGATGCTGGACATAGTCTAATGGTTAGTATGATAGACTGGAATCTGAGGTTCCATAGTTTGCATCCCATTGTTGCAAAATTGTACTCAGTACTTTTATAACACACCCATAGCCCTATGACGGGCAAGTCCCACTATTTCATTAAACAGCCTAAGAGTTGGTAGTAGGTGCTGTTGATAAGCTATCTTCCCTCAAATCTATCAGTTCAAAATTAGGGATGACTAGCTCAGATAGCCTTTGTGTAGTTTTGCACAAATCCCCAAAACAAACATGAGAAAATGTAAATGTATCAATTTAGAGCTGAGAAATTAACTCAATTTATGAATATAATCAATTACCTATGGGCATCAATTACATCACTGTCACATGAAATAACCAATTAATTGAAATAATAAGTAAATTGATTAATGTTAGGAAAACAATTGGTATTTCTGATTATTACCATTTTTGATTATTCCAATTGTCCAGTAATTGAAATTACAATTAAGTTGATTGTCACAATGATAATAGAATTATTGTTTCTAATTATTGCTGTTTTTAGTTATTCTGACTATCCAGTAATCCAAATATTGCTATTATGATTTTTCATTATTATTATTTTAGACTAATTAGTTTGTTCAGCTTAATCAGTTAGTGCCACAGCTCAGAAAAATAAACTAATTCATGTTATGGTTTCTGATTATCACTATTAGGTCCTCAAGAAATTAATGTAGCTAGTTTTTAGACAAAAAAAAAAGAAGAACTTATATATCAACTTATATATCATTACTCCTTTAAGGTCCCACCAAGTGCAAAGCATCCCTTTCTGCAGATGGAGTCCAGGCTTTGGGGTCAGAAGTGATTTTGTCTAGGACTGAGCCAGTTTTTGGCATAGAAATTCAATTTTTCATCACCGGTGACAATTCTGTCCAAAAATGGTTTATGCGCCAGAAAAGACAAAGCAACGTTCACACGTTGAAAACGATGATCATCAGAGAGTTTGTAAGGCACCCAAACACCTTCTTTATGGAGTTTTCCCATATTCCTTAGATGTTTATGTATTCTTTCATGAGAGACATGCAATTTCAGGGCCATTTCACAAGTATGTTGCCTTGGATTAAACTCAACAAGCATCTTCAGAGCATCAATATCACTTCCAACATGTCGGCCCCGGGCCCTCACAGTTTTTAAGGCTAAAGTCACCTGCACAAAATTTGCTGAACCATCGTTGACACTTACAAACATTCAAAACATTTCCATAAATTTCTTTGATATTCTTTGTGGCTACAGAAGCATTGTTTCCCTTCTTGTATTCAAACAGCATTACAATGCAAATGTGTATCTCATCATGTGCCATCACTATAAGGGATTAGATTATACTAAGCTTTACACATTATATAGGCTACACTAAGATGACATTTAGGCAGTTCACTTAACTATTAAACGTGATGTACAGTTTTTGGGGGGTGGTTAATGAAAGTGTTCCAAAACGCGACTATTTCTTGATGACCTAATATTTTTGAATATTCCAACTATCCAAGTAACTGAAATATCATTATGTTTGTTTGTTGTTAAATACAAACCTATACAGGTATTGAAACACAATTATTAGTGATATAACTTGTTTTGAGGGTTTTATTAGCCATCTCATGTGAGAATAATCATAAACCCAACAACTAATGAATAAGCAAATTACACTAATCATTCCAATTTACTGAAACAAAACAAGAATTGTAGATTATCTTCACCCCTTGGTTCTCTGAAATAGAAAGGATCTTAACTTTGTTACATGTTTGTCATTAAGAAACTCTAGACTTGGTTCTTAAACACCAAAATCTATCACTTTAAAGATATTTGTATCATTATGTTTTAGAATAAAGTAACTTAAATTTGATTTGTTAATAAAAAACACTGATAGTGACTAAAAGAATT